AGAATATGCTTACCCCAAGCCTCCTGATACGACATCTGAGCAGGTTGTTGTAGATGATTTTGATCATCGTCACTGGCACGGTAGCTTTGTCCAACAGACGCCTAGCTTTCACGGACAGACGAACGTCCTTCACAGCTACCTGCAGCATCAAGGGTGGCCAAATGACCAGTCGTAAGTTATACATTATTTAAAGATAGAGAGGTAGAGATTAGGGTGGGAAAAGGGGCAGGGAATCAATTGAACGGTAGCACATCGAAAAAAAAAAACGACATGAAAAAGGAGAACTAAAATATTTATATGCATAATCTCCCAAAAAGTTTTTAATACGTGTGGAATGTATTTTTATTTTGCATTATCAGCATCAATCGTTTTAAAATGATTGCATCATTTGTGTTTTCTTTATTCACTTGGGGACGAACGATTCAGTTTTTGAGATGAGGTTATGATTACAAATTGATATCAACGTCTTTTTTTGGCATTAGTGTGGTTTCAGAGAGTCAAGACAATTGATTTTTATTCTGTGGTTAGAATGCTATCGATTATCATGAGAGAAGAAGACAGGGAGAGGTTGCAAAGGGGGATATAAAAAGATGTTGGTGTCCAGACCCTTTGATCTCAACACTTTTCTGCAAGTCAGAAGTTGTAGCGTGCACGTTGTGATAATCCGAAACATTCTTCTATTAGCGTGAGTTTCAATTTTTAACAAAATTTTGATGTTCAGTTTTGTGTCCATAGGGTTCAACAACGTTTTTTTTCGGCGCTCGCAACTGCTAAAGGTCATATTATTAGCGCCAAGGGGTGGGTGTCAACAGAGAAGTCCTTACAGGGAATCAGACTTACTCTGCTCACCTCTCCAGCTTCAACAGCACAAAGTCTGCTTCGACTATCAAGGCACCCCGGAAATAGCAGTTCACAAGAGTGTGACAAACATACAAAAGAAGTAGAGGAAAATGAAAATAGTCAGGATTAGGAGAGAAAAAGTAGCAGTTCTCTGTTGCAGATCAGGCACAGTTATGAGCGTGACATGATGAATCAGCCCATTTACAATTCTACTGTGCTTGAACG